TATCTGGTTAGGCAGATCAGGTAAAGTCACTGAGAAGGGAACAGGTGACATGAAATGAGCCTTGAAAGAGAGCAATCACTGTAACAGGAAAAGAGTATTCCTGGGATGGAGAGGGGATGACTGAGGGGGCAAAACACAAAGGCAGAGAATTGGAAATGCCCGGGCCACACGCGGAAACAGAGAATGCCGTGATAAAAGCACAAAGTAAACTTGGGGAACAATGGGGGAAAAGACTTTCAGAAAAATTGGCCAGATTTTTAAAGGTCTTAAAAGCTGGTTGATAACTCTGAATGTACTTAATCCAGAATGCTACAATACAATTCGGGAGAACTTTAGACAGGGAGGATAACTTTCCCACATTAAAATAATAACTTTCTCAACTTTGATATTCTCCAGTTGAGTGACAATACAAAAGTGCTATTGGCCTCTTATTTTTCATATTTTTTAAATAGAACATTCTTTCTTTAAAAGCTTGATTAGGAGTAAAACCCAATACTTACTGGCTCCAAATATTTGAGTTAAAATACTTTTCTGATGGCTACAGTCAATATTGTAAGGAGTCTCGCCTGCTTTGTTGGGCCTATAAAGTAACCGCCCATCTTTGGGATTTCTTAAAAGAAGTTCTGCCAGTTTCCGACTCCTTCCACGAATAGCAATATGCAAAGGAGTGTCTCCTTTCTGTAAAATAATAGGATGAAAATTGAACTTTCACATTTTTATATATAGTATATACAGAATAACAATTTTCATGTTCTTTAAAATCATAGAAAATCTGACCTTTTCATATTTTTCATTTAGAGCACATATATAGTACCAATTTTTATTTCTACCTTCCCCACAATTTCTTTCTCTAGTTCCTTCCCCAGCTTTTCGCAGATATCACTCCTCCCAGCTCCCTCCAGAAAGAAGGTCATTCTCCTTCCCTTCCCGCAAGTAAATGAAAGAAGAGAAGCAACAGGCTTCCTTCCTCCTTGCAGCTTCTCCCAGGCCATGGACCCACTTCATTAGCATCTACCCGTCACCCAAATATTCATTGTCCAGAGATGTCAATCACCTTCCTCAACTAATTTATATTCTATTTCGGAGCTTTCTTCATTTGTCTAGAAAGCCCGGTGATCCATGCTTGAAATCCCATCTCACATGAGGCACGCAGACAGCTCCTGTGACCTTCGTCGACCTATTCCCCCGCTATGGTGAGCCCTCAAGCCCTCAAATTTCGTTGCTTTACATTCCCCACCTTTGAGTCTTTTGTGCAATATCTGTCCTCCGCTGACTGCTACAACCTCTTCCACTCTCCTCACTTTTCGCTTTTCCTTAACATCTGCCCACCCTCTTCCCTCATTAGACTCTCCAATCACATTAGTGTTCACATCCAACACTAATGAAAACTAGTCTGTAAAAACCAAAAAAGCCCTCTTCAGTGGGCAAAGTGCTCTCCGATTTATAATATTACCTCACAAACACCTCTACTGAAGACAACCAATGACTCAAAACTTAACAAATTATATCCTCAGTTCTCACCCACCCTGATCTCTCTACAGCGCTACATGCAAATGAACTGTGCTATTCTTTCTGTGGCTTCTGCGGCATGACTTTATCTTGACTTTTCTTCTAGATTCTCTTCCCATGTCCTCAATGTGGCACAATAACTATGTGTTCACTGAGCTTATGTATGTAAGGCACTGTGCTGGACACTCTGGAGGATGCAAAGATAGAAGACAAAACAGTTCCTGCCCTTAAGTAGCTTATGCTATTATACGAATAGACTGGATAAACATGCACAACTGTACAACAAACTACAATATGACACATGCCATAAGAAGTTAATTCTGACCTCAGCTTTGATGATCTTAGTCACTCTCAGCAACTCTCATCCCTAGTAACTAACCGCCAAATCTCCATCGCTAGCCTTGATTTCGTGTCCAGATTCCTACACTTCCCGATGCCTACCGGCCGCAGCCTCCTGAATGTCTCATCAGCCCTCAAACTGAACATAGCTAAACCTGATTTCATCACCGTATTTCCCCACCTCAACTCCAATTCTCATCCCCAAACCTGTGAGAAGGCAAAATGTTATCAGCAGTATTCCTGGGAAACACAAACTTCTGAAAAAGCAGGGAAGACATTCACACACCCTGATGATACGCTGAAGATAAACAGAGAGCAGTGATGGGCCACTGCTAATGATAACATTAATCTTTACTCTTAAATTTGTTTTTATGAAATTCTCTACGAAGAGGCAAGAGCAAGACTTATACACGTTTGTATCTCGAATTCTGACAGGACAGCAGCTTCTCCATCCGCAGTAAGAATGTGTGTTCCAACTATCTGAGTATTTGTCAGCAAGCATCATGTGCTGACTCTGGGCATGGCAACACACAAAAGGATACCAAGACAGAGTCCTTCAGGAAACTTATTAATAAGTATGAAATAATCATTTATAAATAGCAAATTACATAATTAATAAGGCTGTACAGAACCTTAAAAGTTATAGTCCAGTGGTTCCATATTGCAAAGCAGGCGACCAGTATC